AAACAGCTTTTAACATTTGCTTTTAAAACTTTGAGTTCCAAATTTTCTCCCTTCCTCCCTCCCTCCCCACCTCATTGGGAAGACAAGCAATTCAATGTAGGTTATACATGTGTAGTCATGCAAAACATATCCATAATAGTAATATTGTGGAAGAAAACACAGACCAAAAAAAAACTCAAGAAAAATAAAGTTAAAAGTGTGCTTCAGTCTCTATTCAGACACCATCAGTTCTTTCTCTGGGGATGGATAGCCTTTTTCATCATAAGTCCTTTCAGAGTTGTCTTGGATCATTGTATTGCTGAGAAGAGCTAAATCTTTCTCCTTTAAAGATGGATTTTGGAGAAAGGATGCTAGTCATGGTTTTCCCACTAATTAGCTATGCAACCTCAGGCAAGTTCATTGACACCTTTCAGCTTTAGTTCAACAAAATGAAGTGTTTGGACTATGTGATCTCAAACTTCCCTTCCTTCTTCTCTCTGATTTGGTGATTTTATTTTTGCAAAGATATTTAGAGTGAAGTATGATAAATAAAAGTGGATGATAAAGTTCTGGATAGTTCTGGGGGTATAGTGGTAAGAACTTAACTGCATATTTAATAAATTTTTGAAATAATAATTCTTGCAAAATATATTTGATGCCCATGAGTAATCCTAATGCTTCTGAGACCTCCCTTTATTACTGACTTTGTCTGACTTACTTCATACATTCAATTTTGATTGAACTTTGCCTTCCAGTTCTAGTTCCCCTTTAGACAAACACTTTTCCTTCACCAAGTCATTGTCCTATTTTTAAGGTTCTGACTAAAGCAAAGATTTCCTAAAACCTCATTAGTTTACTGTCTTCCAAATTGAACATTTCAGTAACAGACTAGGAAGTTTAAAATATATACATTGTAGAATTTAAAATAATGACTTTGCCATAATAAATTCCTTCATTCAGCAATTATTTATTGAGCACCTACTACATATAAGATACTGTTAAATACCCACCTATGCACACTGGATTTTTTTTGGCCAAGACTGGTTTTATTGGTATAGAGAACTTCTGGTGTGTAAACTCCCTCTACTAGCATGGATCAGTAGCACTATTCTACATCTTCGAGTCCTAGAGAGTTAGCAGGGGTACGGAGAATTTCAATGACATGCCTAGAGTCACACACCCGTTATATGTCATAGACAAGACGGAATTCTGGTCTTCTGGCTCTGCAGCCAGCCGTCTATTCAGTATGCCAGCACTGCCACATTTTTTATCCATTTGTAGCTAGGTGACACAGTGAATAGAGCACTAGATCTGGAGTCAGGAAGACCTGAGTTCAGATCCAATCTCAGAGGCACTTAATAGCTGTGTGACCCTGGACAGATCACATAACTTCTGTCTACCTCAGATCTGTCAAAAAATTAGGATAATAATAGCCCCTCCCTATTCATTTGTTATGGAATTAAATCAGCTATTATTTGTAAAGCACTTTGAAAACCTTTAAAGTGCAATATCAATCATAGCTATTATTGTTATATTAGTCAACCTATAGAAGTTCATGTATTTTGTGACAGTATTTAACAATATTCATTATTTCAAAAGAACTGTGATGATTTTGGTTTAAGATATGACTATGCCTCCCATCTCTACAAATGTTAACTTCTTTATACATTAGTAGATGGTCATATGTGGTAAGTCTCTCTACATTAACTAGGTTGGCCATCACATGACAGACATAGTCCATTGCTTAGGCCTGTATCAGACCTGTACACCTTGGCAATAGGTAGGGGACAGAATTAAAATAGGCTAAACTTCTTCAGGCCACATATAGATTTTTAGTGACTCACTTCCCAAATAAAGGGATAATTAATGATTAAACTATTTTGCAAATCATATTTTTAAAGAGGGAATTTCAATTAATATCAATTAATTATGCTTATTACTTAAGATTTTTATTTATCACGAAATCACATTAGTGTTTAAAAAAAAATTACTTTGCTAAGTGGTACAAGTTTTAATCTACCGAAAACACAGTGAAAAGATACAGCTCTCACCCCTCTCAGACTAGAGACGATGGTTGGTTGCCGTGGGTCATGTGACAAACAGGAGAGAGTGCTCATTGGCAACCTACCTGCCACCTTACATGACAGGGACAATAGTGACTAGTAGAAGCTGGGTTAAATGGAGCAGGGACAAAGCACTTGTTATATCTTTACTTTCTTTTACATCTTCTACAAAATCCTTTGGTGGGTAAGAAGCGGCCCCCAAGCAGCCCAAGGGCAGTATGTTGTGCAGGCCTGGCTTATACTCAAAGCCCTTTCAATTTGCTAGAATGTCCAAGTGGTTTGATTTAATTTGCATAGGCTTTGAGAATCCAGGGCTGCCTCCATGCCAGCCAGCAAGAGTTGGAGAAAAACTGTTAATAAGGGGGGCAGTTGGGTGGCACAATGGATAGAGCTCCAGCCGTGGAGTCAGGAGGACCTGAGTTCAAATTTGACCTTAGATACTTGACACTTACTAACTGTGTGACCCTGGGCAAGTCACTTAACCCCAATTGCCTCAGCAAAAAGCAAAATAATAATAATAATAATTGGTTAAAACTATTAATAAAGATGATTTGCTAATGCAGTACTAATTGTGCCTAACTTTGAAGAGAGCATTTTCAGTCAAGTAGTGAAGGCAAAAACCAGATTGCAAGGGACTGAGAAGGAGGCTGGAGATGAGAAAATGGAGTCAGGATATATAGATGTTTTTATGAAAGAAAAAGATAAATAGAATAATAGCTTGAGGGGCAGCTTACTCAAAAGAAAGTTTTTGGGTTGGTTTGTTTGTTTAAGGTGTGTAGAGGGTGTTTGGACATGTTTGTAGACAGCAGGGAAGGAGTTAGTGGATAAAGAGATTAAAGGGATGTGTGTATGTGAGTGAGGTAGAGAGAAAATATGGCAGAAGGGACAAACTCCTAAAAGATGGGAGAGGAGGGGATTAAAGACACAAGTAAAGGGATTTGGTATTGACGAAGAGAAGGGCCATTTTTTCTTCTTTGACTGGAGCTGGGAGAAGAGAGGGAGAGAAGATTTTGAGGGGATTTCAGGTGAAAATAGAGTTTTTTCTAAAAGAGTAATGAGAGAAGAGGAGAATTGGTACAGTTGCTGTGGGAGTAAATTAGGGAAGATTACAAGGATTGCTTTGGAGTAATGAAGTGAATTGAGATTAGATAAGATAAATTTGTAGTGGACTCATTCTATGCTGTTTGTATGACTTCCTCCGCCAGCTATCAATAACAAAAATAACAGCAGATAAGACAAGGTGCTGAGAATAATGAAGAGCTGGGGGGGAAGGGGGAGTTGGATGAGCAATAGTAGGGCAAAAGGGCTAAGGACTTGGGACTCTAAGGTGGAGGATTGTAAAGTTGAATGGATTGTCTGTAACATCAAGATTGAAAAAGGGGGGAAAGGAGGCTAGGGCAGGGTGATGCGCTGATCAGGCAGGGAAGGTGAGAGGCTACAGCTCAATAGAGGGACTAGACCAAAGGTTCTTAGCTTGGAGTCCATGAATTTTTAACATTGTTATAAATATTTCAGTATAATTTCATTGTTCAATCAGTTGTTTTTTAGTCGTGTCTTACTCTTCATGACTCTATTTGGAGTTTTCGTGGCCAAGATACTGGAATGGTTAGCCATTTTCTTCTCTAGCTCATTTTACAGGTGAGGAAACTCAGGTAAACAGGATGAAGTAGCTTTCCCAGGGTAGCAAGTGTCTAACTCCAGGCCCCTCCTTCTATCCACTGCGCCATCTAGCTGCCAGTCTATAATTGGTTTTCTTTGTAATCCTATGTATTTTATAAATTTTATAAATCTTCTGAGAAGAGGGCTAGAGGCTTCACCAGGCTGCCAGAAAGTGCCCATGCCACAAAAAAGTTAAGAACCCCTAGACCAGAAGTTACAGTGAGGACAGAGAATAGGTTTGCAGGGAGAAAAAGGGAATAAGTTTCTATTAAGTGCCTACCATGTGCCAGGGACTATGCTAAAAGCTTAGCAAATATTATCCCATGATACAGTTGAGGAAACTGAGGTAGACAAAGGTTTCCTGCCTTGCTGTGAGTCACAGGGCAGTAGGGGGTGAAGTGTAGGTGGAAATGGAGGGATAAGAAGTTATGTTCAGATAGAGGAATTTCAGAATTGTCAGTTGTGAAGTAGGAACACTTGTAAGTGATGATGAGATTAAGGGTATTATCATCTCTTCATTACTGAGGCCAGCTGAAGGTATATCCTGGGAGCTGAGCTTCCTTTGATCCCTGCTGCCTCTGGAATACAATATAGACTTCTGCATTGGGCATTTAAAGCGCTTCACAGTCTGGCTCCAGCTTGTCCTTCTAGGAGGATTACTCTACAGTGCAGTCAGATGGGCCCACCTGCCCTGCCTTTCCTCATCTGTAACATCCCATCCTCTTATCTCCACGCCTTTGTACAGACCATGGGTGGGCAACCTGCAGCCTCAAGGCCACATGTGGTCCACTAGGTCCTTGGGTGCAAGTGTGCCCTTTTGACTGTCCAAGTTATACAAAACAAATCCTTTATTAAGGGGATTTGTTCTGTGAAGTCTGGATTCAGTCAAAGGGCCACACTTGAAGACCCAGAGGGCCGTATGTGGCCTCGAGGCTGCAGGTTCCCCACCTCTAATATAGACTGTCTTCTGAGCTCCAAATACTCTCCCTCCTCACCTCTGTGCTTGGAACTCCTGACTGTTTCCATGGTTGAGCTCTAGCACTGCCTTCTAGAGGAGGCCTTCCTTGCTTTCCCCACTTGGTAGGGTGGAGGTTTTGTATTTACTCACCTGTGAACATGTTGTATCTCTGAGAAAGAATTTAAGCTCCTTTAGGACAGGAATTAATTCCCTTTTGTATTTCTATCCCTGGCACTTTGCACAATCCCTGGGAAATGGTAGGTGTTTAATGCTTATTGATTAAGGAGATGACTGAACTGACTAGTCTGGATATTTATGGGGGTGTGAGCATGTCTATTGAAGTTTCCAAATATTAAGAGTAGGGACATCCTCTCCCAGAGAAGACTGAGTGAGCCAAGTACTGAACTCCAAGAGAAATCGAGGAGAGTGTTTTGGCTTCTGGTAGATAATTGCCACTAGGGTTTGATTAGGATGATCATTCTAGCTAGATAGATGGTATTACTCTAAAAGGAGGAAAGATTACTGAGTGTTGGGGGAGGGGAAAGTGTGGGTGAATGTTTTAAATCAAAGTGAGAAGCAATGAAGGTACTTAAACTTTTTCTCTTAGCCCATTGGGTTTGTAGGATCATATAATCATGGTTTTGGAGCTGAAAGCAACCTCAGGAGGCCATTGAGTCTTACCCTGTCATTTTACAGGTGAGAAAATTGAAGCCCAGGGAGGTCATAATTTGTCCAAATTACATAGATAGTAAGCATGAGAGAAAGCACTTTGGCACTGGAGGGACTAGCCAGGGATATCATGGTTTGTTTTGTTTTTGAGGAGATCCAGGTTTCCGTGATTGTAGGAAGATGGAACAACTATGGAAGGAGGAGGTATAATTTGAAGGTCACTTTTTTTTTTTTAAGTGAGGCAGTTGGGGTTAAGTGACTTGCCCAGAGTCACACAGCTATGAAGTATTATGTATCTGAGGTATTCTGTGAACTCAGGTTCTCCTGACTCCAGGGCTGGTGCTCTATCCACTGTGCCACCTTGCTGCCCCTGAAGGTCATTTTTAACAAATGGTAGAACAGAAATTCTAACTGGCAAGACTGGGAAGTACGGGCAAGGCTGTTTAGGGATTTAGGAGCTTTGGAAGGGTAGGGGTAGATGGCATGAGGGTGTGGAAAGTGGTAGGTAGTAGGGAAGGAAGGTTTTCTTCTAGGTAGCTTTAGATACTGAATTACAGAATTCAGATCAACATAGGGTGGTAGATTAACCCACCCTTTCCAGTAGCTAGAGTAGCTGTCTCAGGTTCAGCTAAAACGTTGATTTGCTTATCATCCCCTGGGCCACAGGACAGGAGAGGACAAGGCTGAGCCTTTGAGTCTTTGATTCATGGTTGTTCTAGAAGGCCATGGCCTGGTAAAGAGAGGCCTGTCTGGAAGACCTGATGACTCAAGACCTGTTGCCTGGGCACTGCTGCTAATGTGTCGCCTCTTTTGCCAGATCTGAATGTGGCTTGTGGAGAATTTTGTGGGCTGGTAAAAGTTTAATGAACTGATGCCTTTTTTTTTTTTTAATGTTCTTATAAGATTGCATTTAATGATATGCCCACTGATATAGGGCATGGTAAACCCTGAAATGTTGTGGTCCCTTGAAACCAGAAATAGTTTTAATCATGATCATCAGGGATCTGTCACAAGTGAAATTCAAAAAAGGTAGACTGAGGAAAGATAACATTTTATTAATAAGAGCGCTACATGCCAGTAGGGTGACAGGTGGCACAGTAGATAAAGTGTTGGTTTTGGAGTCAGGAAGACCTGAGTTCAAATCCGGCCTCAGACGTTTAGTAGCTATGTGACCCTGGGTGAGTCACTCAACTCTGTTTGCCTCAGTTTCCTTATCTGCAAAATGAGCAAATCACTCCAGTATCTCTGCCAGGAAAACCCCAAATGGGGTCACAAAGAGTCAGACAAGATTGAAAAACAACTGAACAACATCTGTGAGTAGAATGGGTCAGTCGCTATCATAGTTTAGCCATAGACTCCGTAGTGGAGACTCAGCTTCTTTTTATAAGATTAGAACAAAGAATAGAACAGGGTAGAGGAGGAAAAAACATAATTGGTTATACGGTTGTTGACATCATGGGGTCAAGGACAATATGATTACATGGCTGAGGCATGGGGAACATATGATTGATAGGAAGTTAGGAATGAGGGGCTAGCCACAACCCCCCTCCTTCCCTTTTGTGACTTAAGAAATGGTCATTCTTTTAGTCCACCTGCAAGGTTAAAGATAGACCAGACTTCTTTGGATAACAAAGACATCCCTGAAGGAAAACGGTGGTGTAAAAATATTTTATCAGACTCCCTGGAGTCCAACCCCCAGTTGGAGACAGCAGAATTCCTTGAGGCAAACATAGAAAAGTGATTAACAAGACAACTGGATTTCCAAACTTAACTCCTTACAGGCTAGCTGAATTTCTAAACTAAGTTCAAAGACTGTGACTTAGTTATAAGTCAGATAGTCAAATGTCTTTTGTTCTTATTTTTTCAGCATGAAATAGCTTCAGTCAAGATGTTTGAGCATCTGGTTGATGCCAATGGAATTGAAAGTGTAATGAAGAAGTATGGACTTACCCCAGAAGAAGACATGTGTTTTATCAAAGAACAAATCGCGGGACCTCTTGATTCGACAGTAGAGAGTTCTTCGGTGAGTTAGCTGGTTAGTTTGAATTACCTAATGCTTCTCAAGCGAGTGACTATGTTTTCTTATCTGTTAATTTTACCAGTTTTTAAGTACTGAGTTTATAATTTAGAAGCACTCCAAAATGTGGTTGGACCCCAAGTTGATCACTCAAGTACAGCTATATAGTTAATTTGAAAACTCTACCTGTAAATTACCATCTTTCTTTAAAGTAAAAAGTCTGACATTGGGCTGTTTTGAAGAGTACTTAATTACACACATAATAGATTAGACTCCTCGGCCATGAAAGGAGTGTTTATTCTTCAGAGCCCCAGCTCAGCTCTACACAGGGTTCCTTCTGGCTCTTAGTCTTTGATTTTGATGATGATGGTGCTCATCCAAAAAAAGTATGAAAGTTATATATTTGTGGAAAACTGCAAGAGGCTAAAAGATGGAAGCATTTGAAAATCCTCCAAAATCCTTGGAGACAAGCTTTTATCTTGAAATTTTCTTTCTGTATTCCTGTAGGAGTTAATGAGAATGATTTTTTTAAATGTGTCCTAGAATTTTCTGTGTCCAAATGAGAACTTTCCCTTTCAAAGTGGCTTTGTCCCAGACTCAGAATCCAGTTGTTTGAGAGTTGTTTGTTTGAGAGTTGTTGTTTGAGAGTTTTGGAACTGTTGTTAAGGAGCGGTCTATCTTCAGAGATCGTATTCTTTCGTCTGTCTGACAAGTTGTAGTTTTAGGATTGGATGGACCTTTGAGGTTTTTCTAGTTCAAAGCCAACCTAAAGCATTAACCTCCCCCCCCCCCCAAAAAAAAGTGTCCTACAAACCTTCCATTGAAGATTTACCAGTGACTTTACCTCAAAAAGCAATGCATTCCATTTGTATAGATCTTTTAATTACTCAGAAACTTTTTCTTCTATGGAACTGAAATCTACTGCCCTGAAATTTTTCTGTCAAGCAGAATAAATCTAACCCTCTTCTACAAGATAATCCTTTAAATATTTAAAGATGATCTTCATATCTGTTTGCCCCTACCCCCCCAAAATACAACAGAATAAAACCAAAAGCAAAGAAACTTGTCCAGATCAAACATTTCTTTCAACTGATCCTAATATAGCATGGTTTCAAGTCCCTTTATCATCCTGATGGTCACCTTCCTGGATGGGTTTTAGCTTAACAATTTTTTCCCTAAAATATGGTTCACAGAATAGAACACAATATTCCAGATGAGGTCTGACTAGGGCAGAGCATAGTAGGATCATCATCTCCCTTGTCCTGGACACTTCTGTTAGTGCGGCCTGTTTATACTATGCCATTGACTCATATTCACTGAAATCTCCAGATTTTTTTTTTTTACAAGAAGTTTTTAACTATACCTCCTTCCCCTCCCCCCTTACACTTATGCAGTGTAGGGCTTTGCTCTTAGCCCTATTGAATTTCATTTTACTAGATGGCCTAGGAATTGGATGAGAAGCTTAAGAAAATGGGGAGGGGGCTTTTTGTGGTAAGTCTTCCCTTTGTCTTCAAGTCATTGGTAAAAATATTGAATAGGACACAGCCAAGGACAGAGTCCTGTGATATGCCACTAGAAACATCCCTCCAGAGTGACATCCATCCATCCATCCATCCATATCCAGTGATATTCATTGGACTAACCGTTCTCATCTTACTGTTCTGTCGTCTAGTCCAAATCTGTGAGAGGTTTTGTCAAGTATTTTCCTAAAATCCAAATGTTCTGTGTCTATAATATTACCTTGATTGGCCTGAATAGTAATCCCATCCAAAAGAAAATTAAGTTGGTCTGGCTACTCAACACAATTTCTTAATGAACCCCTTTTAGTTCAAGTTTCTTATTACTTCCTTTAATAATCCGGTTTCTATAAATTAATGTCAGACTCAACAGATTAGAATTTAAAGAACCTGCTTTCCTCTTTTTCAAAATTGCTTCATTTAGCCACCACCAGTCCTGAAGCTTCTCTCCAGTATCCACAGTTGTTTAAATGTCATTGATAGGTTCAGCAATCACATCCTAAAATTTTTATATGATTCTTGACTGCAGTTCTCCTGGTCCAGGTGACTATATATTAATTCAGTGAGGTGACATTTAATAGAAACAGCTGGCATTTATAGAGTGCTTCAGGTTTAGTAGTGAAGCATCTTACCCACATTATCTCATTTCATCTTTTGATTGAGGGCAGCTTGGTGCTCTCTTACTAGCTTGGTACTTCAGTTTCCTATTAACCATTTTTGTTCTAGCCTTTGGGTTTAAAGATCATACTCTTCAGTAAGAATAGAAGCAAAAGCAAAGTCAAGTAGTTTTGCCCTTGTATTTTTAGTTGTCATTATTCTGTTTCCCTCAAGCATTGACTTTATCCCTTTTTTGTTCCTTCTTTTCCCCAATATAAATTGAAAAGGGCTTTTAATTGTCTTTAGAATTTATCAGAAATTTGGATCATTCTGGGTTTTGTCCTTCCTGAGACTAATATTAAAGTAGCATATCACCTTTTTTTATTGATCCTCAGTTTGATCTGTCTCCCTTCTCTTGTAAGTTGCCTTTTTCAAATAAGAGATGCATCTATGAGTTTCCTCCAGGCATACCAGTCTCTTAATGCTCCTCCTCAGTTTATTCTTCACCGGAGTCATTTGTAATCATTTTCATAGCATTTTTCTTGGCCACACTTGATCCACCTTCTCTTGTAGAGCATCTGACCATGAATGCCGCCATTTTTTTTCTTTTTAAATGTTTTATTGATTTTTGTTTACATCATTATCACTTCCTAATCATTCTTGTGCCCTTACAGAACCCTCCCTGAATACAGTCAAGTAAACCAAACCAAACATTAGTTATACATGAAAATATATGCTTTATTATACAGCTGGAGTTCACTGTCTCTCAAAGGCATGTCACCATCAGTCCTCTGAAGTTACAACTGATCAGACTTCTGAAGCATTTCAGTGTTGTATTCCTTTACGTTATTGTGGTCATTGTTTAAATTGTTCCCTTGGTTCTGTTTATTCTGATCATATATGTTCGTATTGGTTCATTTGTTCTCTAAAGTTTCTTTGAATTCTTTATATTCATTATATCTTAAGGTACAGTTCCATTACAGGGCAGTTAGGTGACTCAGGGGATAGAGCACTGGGCCTGGAGTCAGGAAGACCTGACTTTAAATCTGGTCTTGGACATGAATTAGTTCCATGACCTTGGGCAAATCACTTAACCTCTGTTTGCCTTAATCCACTGGAGAAGGAAATGGCAAACCACTCCAGTATCTTGACCAAGAAAACCTTATGGACGATATGTTCCATGGGGTCATGAAGAGTCGGACACGATTGAACAGCAACACAGTTCTGTTAACATTCAAATGCCATGGTTTGTTGAGCCATTCTCCATTTGATTGACATCCATTTTCCTTCCATTTCTTTGCTACTACAGAAAATTTGCTACAAATATTTTTGCTCATATGGGACCTTTTCCTGTATTTGACCTCACTGGGGTATAAATATTAATGGTGTTGCTGAGTCAAAGAGAATGTATGCTTTACTGCCTTTTCAGTAGAGTATGAGTCAAGATCTCTACTAGAAAGAATTAGAAAACAGGAAGGTATGGAAGGTTTGAGGAGAAAAGAGGTTTGGAATAGCTTCTGGGGGAATAGTATATAGAATTAGTGAGGGAAGAGTTGAAGTCCTATAACATCAATTTCTAGTGGACCCAGCCACCTCAGAGGCTTGACTCCATTCAGCAACAACGCTTGAGTAGGAAAGGAGGTAGATAGTGGGAGTGATCTAGGGTTGGGTTGGCAATGCATGAGTGGCAATAAGATGAGGTGGCAAAGAATTTGAGAATAGAGGACACTGTGGAGTACAGCTCATTAACCATAGGTTTGAGATTGGGAAGGAAGGAAAATGATGCCAGAGCGCCAGGATAATGGCCTGAGAAAATAGTGAGGAATGAAAGGATTGGAGGTCATGGTGAGTAAAAGGAATAGTTTTGGGGGCTAAGGCGTAGAATGATGAGAAATTACAAGCAGATAGAGAAATATCAGTGTTTTTTTAATCTAAGAAATAGAGCACTTGTGGGTGATAATGAGATGAAGAGTGTGGTCATCCATCTGTTTGGCTAGGCTAAATGGAAGAGCTGGTGGTGGAATATGAGGAGGCTGGGAAAATGGGAGGTGGGTAGAATGTTTGAGGGAGAATCAGCACGGATGTTAAATTCCCCTAGCACCAAGACAGGAACCGGGAAGGAGAGAAAAACAAGTAAACCAGAAATGCCCTCTTGAGAAAAGAGGATGAGTTAACTTAGGACCACTACTTCTCTGACAAGAAGTGGACTCGTGCCTTCTGTATTTAATGGTGTCTGGTTAGGGTTTATATTTGGGTGAGCTCACTCCCTTACACTCTCAGTTTGAAGTCACCTTGATCATATTAGTAAGCTTCTTTACTAAATATATTCTTTCTGGTTCTTATATGCATTTCATCCTACGTCTTAAGCCATGAACAGTTCAGTTTCATTGAATAGACTTAGTTGGCTTTTTTCTTCTTGTGTCCTTCCTTTTCTTCCTAAGTCCCTACCTTTAATCAAAAGTATTATTAGAAACAGCATCTGTGTTGTCTGTCTTCCCTCCCCCCACAATCTCAGTTTTCTGCCTATGTGGAAAACTTCATAATTCTTAGAGATTGTCTCCAAAGTCTTAATCCCTTAGTGTTTATGGAGTTCCTTAACCTGGGGTCCATGGACCCTAAAGAGATCCATGAACTTTTTATAGTGTTTTGACAGTTATATTTCAATAAAATTTGTTTCCTTTATAATCCTATGTGTTTTACTTTATGCATTTTAAACTGTTACTCTGAAAAGGAATCTGTAATTTCTCCAGACTTCCAAAGGGATTCATGACATCCAAAAGGTTAAGAACCCATTTTCTAATGATACCATATGGCTCACTAGAAATAAATCTTTATATTTGACAGGTATTGAGATATTCTGATACATTCCCTAGAAATATAGCATAGCTCCTGATTGGTATTAGAAATTTGACATGGTTACTTCCATAGCCTTCAGCACGGAGTCCTGACCACCATGGTTCCTGTGGGTAATGATGGCTGTCTTCACTTAAGGCATGTCTATTGATGCTCAGTATTCACAGGACGATTAAGAGGTGACGTTGGGGAAAGAATGAACTTGGGTGTAAAAGACTTCTCATGCTTTTTAAAATTTGGTAACATAAACAGAAAAGGCTCTTAGGTAATCCTTATCTCTTTTGTAAGATTGCTTTGCTGCCATATCTGTAAGTATAACATAAATCCATGATTAAGACTAAATCTGCTCTTCCCTGGGTTTTCTTCCAGTGGCCGTATAAAGGGCGACCCGAAGAGAAAAACTTTCTTTATGAAATAGTGGCTAATAAACGCAATGGCATTGATGTGGATAAATGGGATTATTTTGCCAGGTACACGTTGAACATTTCACAAGTGCTGTCATACTTTGATGAACAACTTCCTTGTTATTGTTTAAGGGGCATATTTCCTACTGACTTTTTTCAGCTGTATTTCTTTGGAATCTTTTTAGGGATTGCCACCATCTTGGAATTCAAAATAACTTTGACTATAAGCGCTTTATTAAGTTTGCCCGTGTATGTGAAGTAGATAATAAGAAACACATTTGCACCAGAGACAAGGTAAAGTGTTTGAAAGAGAAGCAATCAAGAAAGAAGGGGATTCATTTGTTCCCATTTACAGATTGAGGGCTGGGGGAGTAGCACAGTTTTTTGTAAGCACTTTCAGGCATTTTCTCTTTTGTTTAGCATACTGCTAAAGGCTCTTTTAAAAATTAGTAAAACACTGGAAAGTATTCCCAGCTTTTGTTAATGAATGATTATTTTCACTACCCTGAATTTATTTGTCATGCTTTGTGAGGGGAAGTCACATACATAACTGTTTAATT